CACCTCAAACTGCAAAAGTTATGCCCAGGATATGTGACAAGTATTTAGTTAAGATGGGAAAGATATTTTATTATAGGATTTAGTACTATCTATGGCATCAGGCATTAGGCATCAGGCATCCACTGGTGTATTGCACTTATGCCCGTTGGGTGTTTATAAGTGTTGTGGACTAAATGTTAAAAGATGCAATTTTGTTAGAAGACAAATTGCTGTCTTTCCATCTAGGTCTTTCCATAAGCCCTGTGGTCATGCTAGTTTGCCAGAAAGAGCTGGAGAAGTTGAATGGAACTGTATCAACCCTTGAGAGATGAAAAAGATGATTGGTTTATAAATTTGCAAGGGAAATACTTGTTTCTCATGCTGAAGAAGCAAGTGTGTTCTACTTAGTAATCTAGTATAACTATCATGTGAACAGCAAAGTGAGATGGAGAATCTTGAAGAAGAGTGCAGTCTTTCTAGGAATAAAACATCTATGTCTCCCCCACAGCGCTCACTTCTGTAAATATGTGCAGTGCACTTTAGACTGTGTGGACTCTCACTCTATGGAAGGAACATTAAAAGTAGAGGGATTATTCATGCAAAATTTAGTAAAATCAACTCATGTTAAACCTGAGGGAAATGAACAATCAAGAAGTAGAAATTGTTCAGAACACTAGAATTTTTCTGTTAGATCTAATGAAAATCATGAGTTACAACTTGGAATGGAAAATGCAGCTTTTCAATCTTAATTTACCAGAAAGGTATTAAGTATTCATCTTTTGACATTGCTGTGGACTTTTTAACTAATCATTTTAATCTTTATTTTATGTAAAATGTTAATATGAATTTTATAAAATGTAAGTTGCAGAGTTTTTAATTCTAGATTTCACCTTTTTCTGAGTGGTAATTTTGTTTTTAAAGGGCAAGTTTCTAGCCCTTTTGTACTTCTTATAATAATGTTTGAAGTTACTTTGCTTATTGTACTTTTTCCTTTCAATTATTATTTCTTTTGACCAGTGGTTTTTACTTCTATTTGCAGTTTTTGTGGATCAAATAGTAAGAGAATACAGTAATTTTTTTACTGATTTTAAACTGTATGAGTTGCAATGGGAGCCCTCACCCCATTCTCAAAACTAAGCATAGAATAAGATGATAACAAATGGCAAAAGAACTTGGACCAAATTGGTACTATATGTACCCTGTGATGTCAATCAGTGTGATTTAAATTCCTTTAAGCTCTTGCTATAAATGTGCATTCATTGCTGAAATACCATTTTATATCAAAGAAAATAGAAATACAAGTTTTTTATCATAAAGGCGCAAATCTACATACATTTACAAGGATTTTCATAATATTAAAACTGAGTACTTATCAAGAAAAGCTCACCATTAAGTACTTACTGTGAAAGGTGTGTTGTACTTACTTTAATGAAATCCCTAGTGATTCTTTCATTCCAGGAAACAGTCCTGCTTTCAAAAGCTGTAAAAGTGTAAAAGTTTTCTCCTTTTTTTTTTTTTTTTAAAAGAAGTCAAAGTGTTTTTAATAAACATGGATGAACCTTTTCTGAAATTATTGTACTTGTTCCCTTGTTTATTCATCTTACTAGAATAAAGCTCCTGGCAAACAGGGATGCTGCTTAAACATTAGTGTCCTCTGTGAGAACTATTTTGTTGCTAATTCAACCATCACGGATGATGCAAATTCTGATACCATGACAGTTTTCTTCAATTCCATGATCCCCAGTGCTTTCATGTCAAAACCAGCTTCTCTGGTGGCTGATATGGTTTAGTCCCCAAGGTTCAGTGCATGGTGGAAGCCACAGGACCTGCAGCTTGCTGATTAGTATCTTGTCACCTGGAGCTTTGCATAGCATCCAAGGAATCGTGAACTACATGCATGGGAGGTGGTCATACTCCTTGTTACTCTGAAAACACTCTTTTATGACCCCTTTTCATTTCAGACTAGTAGGGTTCCAGAAGTTGGGCACCATGCCTGAGGTGATAAAGCCAAGAGTGCAGGCCTGCATATTTCAACTAGAGCTTCTGTTCTGAGATGCTGTGAAGGTTACTTTTCATGTGTGCTCCTACAAGGCTATTCTGCTATAGAAATTAAGGGTTCTCTCTCTCATACATAAAATTTTCTTAGGCAAAATAGTTCAACTAAATGAAAATTCTAAATACAAGAAATAGAAAATAGAGCTCTCTTCTTTTAGCAAATTTCACGTGTTCACTGATTACCTTAGCTTGTATACTAAAATCTCTAGATATAGATTTGAAATTCATTAACTAAAAATTGAGATTGCTTAATTTGAAGAAAAAAAGAAAATTTATTTCTAACTCTGCTTTTAATTTGAAAATTCCAGAAATCAGTTACCAGTAATGTTTTCTTTCAAATACTTTAAATTGCCCATGGATCAAAAATTCAAGCTTAGCCTGGACAACTTAGTGATTCATCAAGGTCTTGTCACAAAATTTAAAATAAAACGAGTCTGAAAATGTAACTCAGTGTGAAGGCTCTGGGTTTAATCCTCAATAGCTTCCATCAAAATTTATATAAGTGAGGTATCTTATATACATTCAAGTTTGATAGGTACAAAGAACAGCCAGAGCCTTGCCTGAACCCGTAAGACAGACATACAGCATATTTTTGCCTCTGTCACGGTAAATCAGGCTGTGTTTTGTGGTGACACAGAATGTATTCAGTTTCTGGCAGAAGTGTATCATGATGTTGGCATTTGTACAAGGTTTGATTGCTAAAAAAGACAGGACCCAAAATGACACTGCTTGTCAACCCATAGAACAGTGCCAATATGGCAGCAGTACTGCATTAAGAGCTACCTCTTAGCAAAGAGTTGATAGAGCCATATGGAACCGCAGCAACACTTCCCTGCTAGGACTACACAAAGGCACTGTTTTTTTTTCTTTCTTGGCCATATTTATTGGTGTAGAAGACATGGAGATGATAGACGTTATTGCAAGTTGATATAGAACGCTGATTTTTCCTGAAACACCAAATTCATTAATTTTTTATTGTACTTAATAATAAAATTGTTGCTTAAGTAGTAAAACTGAGGTTTGCATGAGCCAGACACGAACAAGTGACATTATTTTAATGTCATAAATATTTTTAAAAATGGAAAAAATGAATTTGAGACAATTTCATCTTGGTAAGAACTGTGGGCTAGGTACTTAAAATGCAATATTTTGCAATTGTTATGAATCACCAATTAAAAATAATTTCCTCTTTCATCTGTTTGCCTGTATTACTGATATTGTACTACTTTTCTGAGTATTTGGAATTATTACAACAGCTTTGTGAATGTTTTATAGTTTGTTTATGACTTATAGCAAGTAATAATAAAATACTGAATCAAGATATTTTAAAGGACTCTGTCTCAACATACTTCCAGATGAGGCACAAATTAATATTTACTTTCACTTTTAGTTAATCCAATTTAGGCATAGAGTTTTTTTTTAATTAAAAAAACATATAAAAAAGGGAGAGATTAAGATGAAAGAGGACATAACAACACAGGTCAGAACAGAACAATTTAAGCAACATAGTGTTTCACCACAAGATAACCCTACATAACAGTAATCACCATAGTGTCTCTTTCCTTGAAATATTTGAGTATGCTTTTGTATACTATCAAACATAACAAGACAATGTAAAACCATTCAAGAGGGTAAAAGTGTTACAGGGTATTTAGCACCAACTAACAGAAAATGAACAATGGTTTCTATATTATCTCCTTGACTATAAAAATTTTGTTTGTACTATGAAAACAAGACATTATAATAGCTAGTACTGATTTAATATCAGCTTGATTTGAAGTCCCATCAAGCTTTTGTTCTTCTGTCTCCATCCGTTTTATCATGTTGTATCTTATTGGATTTCATTATATGTGATAGTATAAACACAAAGGCACTTTCTCTGGGGTCAGAATCAGTGACTGATGTATATGATATTAAGAACATTGCTCATGGATGAAAAGTTCAAGCTTAGCCTGAGCTGAGCTTTGCCAGTCATTTCTTCTACTTTCTTGGTCATGTAGGCATGCTCTTAAGCCTGCAGCCAGCCCCAGTGGTCTTGGGAATTTCACCTAGAGCCCCAGACACAAGCCATCAATGTTCTTTCATCAACAGAACCTAACCAATGGGCTCATGGCACAGCAAATACCACCTATAAGCATGCACTGCCTGACCAGGGCACTGTGCAGGACACACCATATGCAATGGCAAACAGAAACCCCAAAACAACACCCAGGATTTGGAGGCAGATTTATTTAACTTCAGATAGGCACTGACTAGAAATTAATTGTTCCTCAAAATGTGAGGCCCTGATCTCTGGTGGTCCAGGGCTTATATGAGATAAACAAAAAGGAAGTACAGAGGCAGAATGGCTTGTCAGGGATTGGTTCTTACAGTATGCATCATAATTTTCAGCTATGCATCACGGAGATCAGCCAATTCTAAGAAACAAAAGCAACAGGAACTGTAACCAGAACTATTACCTGTATTATACTATACTATACTATACTATACTATACTATACTATTACCTGAAGTATACTAGCTGGGCTGGGGAGGAAGGGGTTCTAGTACACGTACTTTACCAGAGCTGCTCACCAATTCTTCTGGAATTAAACTTCATAATTCAAGTATCAGTGGTCCCTTGGTATATTGCTGTGGGCATAGCACATGAAATACTGTAAATGTTGGTAACTTATAGTTTAATAAGCCACAGTGTGGCGAAATGTGCAGATGTTTCTGTTTTAGAATCTTAAAGAGTGAATCTGGAAGAAGGTTGTGATGGTGATACTACATTTTCCCTCTAAAATTACTGTATATGTCTCTCAGTGTGTTATATTTAAACTTTACTGTTTTCTTGAAATCAAATTTAAAGATTTCCTGAGGCAGCACTACCAATGTGCCTTGAATTTGAGAGTGAATGACATAGTCTGTATTTCAGATCCTGATCAGTTTCTAATTGTGTTTTCCCCTTCCTTCTCCATCCTCCAGATGACTCGACTCCTAAGGAAGTCAGCAGGGTAAGTAATGTGAATATAATTTCTACTACTGTCACATATAGGAAATAAGAAATTCTTTTGTACATTTTCTCCCTACTAAAATATGTTATGTTTAGAAAAGCAATGATAAAACCTAAGTATCTGCTTCAAAAAGTTACTGATTTGTGCAGAATAAAGTCAGTGAAGAGACATGTTGCCAATTGAAGGCCGCAAGACTGAATACCACTGACAGCTGCATTTCTCTTGGCACACACATGTTTATGGGGTTTTCTGCACGAGTGCCCAACATTTTGAAGTGGGGAGTCTGTGTACAAAGATTGAGTTTCTGTCCTCTACTAAAAAGACAGAAGGTAAGGAGCTTGAGCATAGCACTCTAAGATAGCCACATCAGCTCTGGCCAAGTAGAGGAAGCCACAGGTTGTCACAGAACTACTCTCATGTAGCTTTATTTAATATTTTATGTGCTTCATACCTGATTTTCAATTCATGAATTTTGTGTTTAGGAGAACAAAAGAGAATTTATGTGATAAAAGTGAGGCATTTCTCAGTACTTCCAGATATGTTAAATGTTAAATGTACTATTTTCCTGATCTAGAGAGATACTTAGTGTTACCTTCTACAGATTTAGAAAACTTAAAAGCTTGAGGAAATGAATACTGAAAGCAGTATCATATCATTTAACACTATAGAATTACCTGTATATGTAATTTTGTTAGAGAAAATTATCTTGTTTCCTGTGCACAGATATTAAGTGTAGATTGAATATTGAAAATAATCAGTTTGAATTGCATCTGATACAATCAGATATAAAAAATTGATCTTTCTTTAAAACTGGAAAGCTGTTAATAGAATTACATATGCAGATATAGTATTCTATTTTTGATCATATATTGAAGAAAATCTCTAAAAATGACTAGGGAGGGCCAAGGCTTCATTCAGAGCTAGTGGCTAGGCAGAATTTCCTCTGTGCATAGCAACCTAACAGACTCCTAAGCTTTCTGGGAGACTCGGGGATCTCTCAGATATTTCCAGTATTTATTCTACATTTGTAGAGTTCCCAGTAGGAGAAGTGCCAAGTCTGTGTGCCCCAAGATGTGTTAAGAGGGGGAGGCTTACCTAGAATTTTGGCATCTTCTAGGAGCAACAGAAAATGTTATGATGTGATGTTTGAAGGCAAAAGGGAATTTTCACAAATTAACTGGGACAGAGTCATACAATGTTGGGATATTTATATTGGCAAATCTCGTCTTGATTTTCTGACACTTTACCATGTATTTTATAAATCAAGGTCTAGTAGGAAGAAAACTCCAATATATTCATTAATAATTGTTTTAGAAAAAAAAGAAGCCCAGACTTTCATATGCATACAATTTAAACTTCAAGAACTTGAAAAGACTTTAGACTTTGTTGTTATTTTTAAGGAAGGTAAGAGAAGGAATGCCCGATTGGTTGCAATCCATCCAGATGTTTTCCTTACATCCTACCCTAGTGACAAGAATCATTATAATTGTATCTCTGATACTTTGCTTATGTCTGTATATTAACTCTCTTTACTTGTTTAATGGAAAACTGTTACTTAGCCTCCACTATCTTAGAATATAAAGTTGCATCAGAGTATCAGGACTGATTTTGCTATTGTATCCTACTCGGTCAAATATAAATCATGTTGTAATTACCTTCTAGGCAAAGAATAAACTTTTTCTTTCATATATTTGTATATACTCAATTATGCAATATTGATGCCAGGCATCTTGGGTTCAGAAATGCCATTTTGTACAGACATTGTACAGAAATGCCAGTGTACAACACATTACCCTATAGTGCCTGTTTCCAGGTAAAGGCAGAGGACACATCATGTGATCAGACATTGTCAAGTTAACACCACAGAACATCTTTAAGGCCCTCTGGAGCAGTGATGAAGCTATACATAGTGACTTCTAAATGATTATTTTAAAGAGTCACTTCTGCCAATTTACATCAAAGTTAAGAGAAACTTGCATTTCTGAGAAACGCTAAGTGTGTGAACTAGAATGGTATCAGATGTCAGGATCTTTCTAATTTTCTTTCCTGAATCTTGATCATATTTATTTGACTAATACTTATATTTTACTATCAAAATAGTGTACTACTTTTTTGAATTTAGATTTAGAAATACCAATGGCTACTTTGTCATAGATGATGACTAACTACAGTTTCCATTTGAACACATCTTCTATCAAAGAGTGCCCTCGGTAGATGGATTGTTTGACTCCTGAAATGTGGCCCATCATTGTGAAGTTCTTTATCTCCTAGATTCCACCAGTGGCTTCCCCTTAATTAAATTCCATTCATGTTAGTTTTGACTTTGTAGTACCTCACGAGAGGCTGTACATCCTTTTGCACATGTAACTTTTAGTACAGGGATTTGGTTCTTTATGTGTCAGTAAAATATCTTTTTAATTTTTTTTTTTTTTTTGCCTGTATGCTTTCTTAAGATCTGGGATGACAGTTCCTGGATGAGCTATATATTATCAATATATTTTTTAAGTCTAGTAACAATAGCATACACTAGACCAATTGGGGTCTAATCCTGATAAGATGAGGGGGGACAAATACTGTCTTGGTTTTGAGTCTATACCATATAGATAAATTCTAAGGGAGAATTAGCTTTTTAAAAAAGTCATACATCATTTTTGGCTATTCAGCTTTTTGTTTTGATGAGATCAAGAGCAATCTCTAATTTTACTTCTTCGCTTCATATTTCCTAGTTTGCCCTCCCTCCTTTGCTCCCTCCATCTGCCCTTTTGCCTACCATCAGTTGGCAAATATTAAGATTTATATGCCACGCATTGTTCTGGGGTGCTGAAAACACATGTTGAGAAAAATAATATTCTGATTTTCACAGTCAAGAAGCTAAATGCCCCAATGATAAATACCGTGATTAATGCTGTGATAAATACTGTGATATCAGTGATAAGTGCATGTAATAGTAAAGCAGAATAAGGAGATAATGAGTTGCAGTGCATTAGGGACAGTCTTTTACTGTATATATGTGGTGGTCAAGAGAGGTTAATTTTGGTAAATTGGCATTTGGGCAGGAGCTAAAGAGAACTGGCCATCAGGAGGAAACAATAGCTGTTAAGGCCCATAGTGCTGGTCAGGAGGCTGGAGCAGTGTGACTAATGGAAAGAGAAGTAGGAAACAAGGTTAGAAAAGAATAGAGGAGTTGAAGGCCATATGGTCTGTTACACATCCTTTAGATTTAATTCTGGGAAGATGTGGAAGCTGTTTTGGATAAATCAAATGGAATGCAGGAATCTGACTTACATTGAAATTAACATTTTTATAGTTGCTGAACAGAGAATACGCAGAAAGAGGTAAGAGTGGAAAGAGGGAACCCAGACCCATGGAGGATAGGGAGAAAGGAGGGCATCTAGGATTGGGGTTATGCAGGTGGGACATAAGCTGAGGTTGATCACAAAAGGAGAATCCCATAGGCTCCTCCAGGGCTTGTACAGGTTGTTTGAGAAGAGAGGAAGCACTAAAAACTCTCACTGTTTTTGTCTTAACTATTTTGTGTAAAGACCAAAAAGGAATGGAATTGAGTAGAACTAAAAATCAGTACATTGTTTTTAAACATGTTGACCTTAAGCTTTTGATAAGGAATTAGAAATATTTTGAAAGCAAGTATATATGGTCATGTTCAGAGAGAAGTTCACAGGCCAGGACAAATATTTGGAAGTATTTAAAGATGTGAGACTAAATGTTGTTATTTAAGGAATTTGTCACCAGAGTAAAGATTCTGAGGGCTACACTGTGAATATGGAGTCAATGGATCATGGATAGATGTAGAAAAAATGGGAAAGGAAATGTTGGACCAGAAAGTAGTGAAGTAGGAGGAAACAAAAAGCTTCTTGGTCAACATACTTTGCTTGTTTTTACATTTAATTTTAAGGGTACGATACCAATTTTTTTCTTAAATGCACATTGTTGTGGGTATATAATACCTATGTTTATTCTTTAGAATATTTCTATTGATAAATTATTTTAAGTTCATGAGTCTTATTATAGTATTATTATTTGCTACTAGAAATCAAACTCAGGACCTTGTGCTTGTCAGGCAAGCACTGTGCCACTGGGCTGTATCCCCAACCCTGTGTTTTATTATGTTAAATAATGAGTACTTAACAGGAAAAATATCACAGAAATACAGTATTGAATTATATATTTTATATTTGTATTTATATTTAATTAATTTTATTTTTAATTTAATTTATACTTGTTTTATATTTATTTTTATATTATTTATAAAAAGCAAAATTTTCAACATTGACTGATTTTTGATGTTCAAAGTCTAACAAATAACAACAAAAATAAAAATGAACTATGATGAAAATACGAATATAAATATATCACAGGATAATCTTTATCACATCTAAGGCATTCATCACACATGACAACAGCGTGGTCCCCATACATGTGTCACACTGATAATGTGTCTTTTGCTTTCTTGGCCTTTTTGTAGGACATACATTACATCTTGCTGGTCTTGCTGTATTGTCAGGAGGTTCTTATTATAGTTCTTATTATACAATGTTTAGTTAACAGGAATATAAACTAATAAAATAAAGTATTAAGTTCTTAATAGATTTCATGTGTTTAAAATAAACATCAACATTTTCAGATCAACTGTGTACTTACTTACAAAACTTGAAAAATAACTTCAGAAATAAATTCCTATAAGAACTACAATGAAAATACCAATAGTACTTTACAACAAAATTAATCTTTGCTTTGATTGTCATACCGAAGGCAGACTTCACACATGAAAAATGCATATTCTATGCAAATGTCTGGCTTACACTGACAGCACGTGTGTTACCTTTCCTTTCCTGAGTGGCAGGTCATTCTTATCACCTCTCTCGTCTTCTTGTTTTGTTAGAAACTTTTCTACTATTATTGTACACTGTTGCACTTAGCAGGAAAATAAGTTATCAATAAAATAAAATGTCAAATATGTATTGACTGCTTAGAAGAGACAT